TTGCAAGCTGTGTACAGCAAGAGCTGCTAAATGAAGCAATGGCGGGTAAGCTACTTTTGAAGGGAGGAAAAGGATCCACCTCACTTGGTGTGTGTGATGGCCTGAATCTGCAAGTTAGCTAGCCAACGTTAGCGCTGGCAAGCTAAGTTGCTAGTTGTCAAACTGTGTCACTGTCAGGTCATTTTGTCGCCGGGCGAAACGCGAAACGGACACAAACTAACGCTGTGCTCTTTCTACAGGAGTTGCAGGAGGAAATGATTTCCAGTGGTGTTTCTCTCAAGTGAAAGGAGCGATAGATGAAGATGTTGCGGAAGGTATGTGGCTAACGTTAGCTCTGCGGCTAGGCTAAAACGGTGGGAAGCTAGCTAGGTGGTCTGATGATGGTGCTCTGTGGGCTTTACATGAGGTGCACGATAGCTAACGCTGGATGGACGCACGGGTTTTAATGTGAGACTGCTGTCGTGTCTGGTATTAGTGTGTCTGTGGATCAGTAGCTCAAACGCCCTTCCCCTCCAAATTACTGTGTGTCGCTAGCTAGCTGTATGCTAGGTGGTGGCTAAACTATTAAAGGGGAGCGACCGTGTCCGTGACGTCAATGTGCTGCGTCCATAAATTGTCGAGTGACATCATGCTTGTTTTCATTCATTCAAGAGTGGGTGTACGTGTTGTGCGTGTTTAGCTGTCAGTGTCTGAAGTTTTAATTGAAAAAAACAGACCAGAACCTGACTGTTTCTGCAGTCCAACACAGTAGCATGATTTTAGCTCTCATCCCAGCTGACATGCTTTAAGATCGAGTATGTTTTTAATGTCTCAATCATTCTTATTTGTGTCTGTTTGCAGCTGACATAATCTCAACAGTTGAGTTCAACTATTCTGGAGAATTACTTGCAACTGGAGACAAAGGAGGTCGAGTAGTGATATTTCAACATGAACAGGAGGTAAGACTCATTCAGCAGGACAGACAGATTCAAGGAGTTATCTCATAAGTGTTGCGATGAAAACACACATCTCTGGTGATCTATGTTTTCCTAATTCTCGTTCTTTTTTCCAGTCTAAGAATCGTCCACACCTGCGTGGGGAGTACAACGTCTATAGCACTTTTCAGAGTCACGAGCCAGAATTTGACTATTTGAAAAGTTTAGAAATCGAGGAAAAAATTAATAAAATAAGATGGCTACCCCAACAAAATGCTGCTCACTTTCTACTTTCAACAAATGGTAGGAGCCTTTTTTTACTATTTAGATTATTTGTTGATACAAGAGTTGGAACCTGTGCGACTTGAACTGAAATTTTACAACTTACAACTTCTTTTCAGATAAAACTATCAAATTGTGGAAAATAAGTGAAAGAGATAAACGGGCAGAAGGTTACAACCTGAAAGATGAGGATGGGCGACTCAGAGACCCCTTTAGAATCACCTCTTTACGGGTATGTTTAATCACACCTCAGACCTGCCTCATAAATGTTTTGGATACTCGCAGAATCTTATCTGAAAGTCTGTGTTGTTTGTTTCAGGTACCAGTGCTGATGCCAATGGATCTCATGGTAGAAGCAAGCCCGCGGAGGATCTTTGCAAATGCGCACACCTATCACATTAATTCCATTTCTGTAAATAGTGATCATGAAACTTACCTCTCTGCAGATGACCTAAGAATAAATCTATGGCACTTGGAAATCACAGACAGAAGTTTTAGTATCCTTTTTCCTCATCAGAAGCAGATAATAGATGTGTGTCTCATTGTCTAGTGGTCTCTGTTTTGTGTCACAGACATAAGACTGCAAGTTCCTTAACCGTGTGTTCCCAGATATTGTAGACATCAAGCCTGCCAACATGGAGGAACTGACAGAAGTAATCACAGCTGCTGAGTGCCATCCACACCAATGCAATGTATTTGTGTACAGCAGTAGCAAAGGCACCATCCGCCTGTGTGACATGCGAGCAGCGGCACTCTGTGATAGGCACTCAAAGTGTAAGTACCTCCACTGTGCTGTAGTTCTGCAGTGTTCAGTCAAGTAATCAATAAATTAATGTACCAAATTGTTTATGGACTATGACAAGATAACTGTTTAGTAATGGTTTCTCTAACATTTCCTGCTGAATCCTTTTTTGTTGATGTGCTAATATACTGATAAATGTTTCTTTTTTTGGAGTTGTTCTCATCCTCTGAAGTCACATCTGACAATGATTTTTATAAAGAATTGTGAGGATTCTTCTTCTTTTTTTTTTGGAAGTCTTTGAAGAGCCTGAAGATCCAAGCAGCCGATCCTTTTTCTCTGAGATCATCTCCTCCATCTCAGACGTGAAGTTCAGTCACAGCGGACGCTATATGATGACACGTGACTACCTCTCCGTCAAAGTTTGGGACCTCAACATGGAGAACAGGCCAGTGGAGACGTATCAGGTGCATAAACGGACTTACCTAGTGATTCAAACTGGCATTCATGTACTGTGAGGGAAAAAAAAAGAAGCAGCACTGCAGTGACAAAAATAACTTCTGATTCAAGTGACATCTCTTTGGAACTTGCATAACATCATTTTAAAACTGAAAAACACACAATTCTCCTTCTTTGATAAAGGCTTGAAACTATGTTATTTCCACTAAACGTCTGCATTTCCCTAAAGTATATAACATAAAGCATGTAGCCTACAGCGGTGAACCCCTCACCTGCAACTATTCTTTCACAAATCCTGTAATGAAATGGTTCAACAAAAGAAATCCTACAGAAATATGAAAGGACATGATCTATCAGCGAATACCATGAAAGCTCTCTGCAACTTAGAAAATGTTGGCCTCCCAGTTGGCAGAGAGCCACGCAATCTGGGGTCATTTGCGGTAAAGAAACAAAAGTCACTGTTCACTGAGATTAAAAATGTGGGTGAAATGTGCAAAAGGCCACAGACTGTGTTAGCTGGATTAGCTCTTTGATGTTTTATGATGAGTGAATATTTAGCAATGTGTTTTGTTTCAGGTCCATGAATACCTTCGCAGTAAACTCTGCTCCTTGTATGAAAACGACTGCATCTTTGACAAGTTTGAGTGCTGCTGGAATGGCAGTGACAGGTACGTGTGTTTGCTAGATCACAGGATAATGTTTTTCTTGCTTCTACGTTGTATTTTTTACCATTTTTAACAGTCTCATTGGGTGATGTATTCAACTCAAGCGGTGACATTTGTGAATTACTGGCAAGCAGACAATCAATGTCATCTTCCTTCTCCGTCAGTGCCATCATGACCGGCTCCTACAACAACTTCTTCCGAATGTTTGACCGCAACACCAGGCGGGACATCACACTGGAGGCGTCCCGGGAGAGCAGCAAACCACGGGCCACGCTCAAACCGCGCAAAGTGTCCACCGGCGGCAAGAGGAAGAAGGATGAGATCAGCGTGGACAGCCTGGACTTCAACAAGAAGATCCTCCACACTGCCTGGCACCCCAAAGATAACGTGATAGCTGTGGCAGCCACCAACAACTTGTACATTTTCCAGGACAAAATCAACTAGAAGATTTGGGGCTCCAGAGGATAGGGCTTTTACCGTACCTGTGTAGTTAAGCCTACTACTTGTCTATCTGTATAAGAAGAAACAGCCTTGTTGTCCTCCTGGTGAAGAATTCGAAAGCACGTGTCTACTTTTTTTGCCACAGGAGGTTGATCCATAGGCCTGTTTTATTTTGAGTCTGAGCTTAGGTTGTTTTTGCCTTTGGCACCAGGGCAATCAACATGCCCCCCTGACCCAGAAAGCCCAATTCGGGTCTAATTGACGGAATGGCACTCCCTAGAGGTCAAACTCTTGAACGTTGGTGTTTGTGTTGACATTTTAAGCCTTCATTTCACAATTTAACGACAGAACTCTTGGAAGTCCTTAAAATGACGTCTTGTCAAGGTTGTATCATCATTTCAAAGATTTCGGGCCCTCTGAAGCACGGATTAATGGCCGGTAAGCCTAACTGTAACATTCCCCCATTGGCCATGTATTCAGGCCAAACTACTGGTGGAAAAGGCCATGAATTTGGAAAGCGGACTTGTTTCTTTTCCTCCCCTCCCTTCTCTTATTTTACCCCAGTCAATACGGTGACATAATTTCACTGACTGTATCTACTCAAGTACACCTTGTCATCCACATAATAAAAGAAACTAAAACTACAGATGTGTTTTTAAATTTAGAAGTATGTATTAAAACATGTTTATTGCTTTGCATGTTTTTATGTTGTAGAGAGGTGGAAAAATGTCCAGTCACACCACTGTCTTTTGAGCAGATCTCAAGCAAACTTGTTAAGGAAATACTATTTGGGTGTACCAGTTTGAGAACCACTGTTGGAGACAACCGATAATGTGTTTGTGTCAAGAGATTAAGTTCTAGTTTTTGACCATGTTTTAGGATGCAGGCTGGAAACTAAATGGCACAAGATAGGGTCCAGGACAAAGGGAATCTGCAGCCTTAATACCTACTTCTATCAGTGACAGCTACAAGTTATGTCCCCAAACGTTTTACAAACCTCATGTGCATTATTTGTAAATCCTATTTTATAGAGTTATGTCCTCATATTCTGCTGCTATACGTGGCTGTCTATGAAAACACATAAAGGAGGAAAATTGCACACCATACAGTTTATGTGATAGAGTGCCTCCGGATCATTTAATAAGTAGGATATTCAGACAGGCCTCATACATGTGCCCTTATTCATTTATTAGGGATGTCGCCCAAATTTGACCTGCATATTGCAAATGTGGATCTTATCTCTGTAGTTGTGAATGCAGAAATGAAGGTTGACTACACAAAACATATACTGATGACATTAAAACAAACACATAATAATGCATTGTCTTTGTCCATTGATTCCTAACATGGTGGCAATGTATTCACTTGTTTATTATTTTGACCAAAGTTCAATAAAATTTTAATTGTGTTCATCTGCATGTTTTTTCTTTCCTTTGATAAATAATCAGCTCCATGTTTCCACATATCGACTATAATTTGTAAATCCATCGAGGCCATGTGCACATTTTCAACTTTTATTTAGTGTAGGATGAACAAATGGACCATATCTGTGCGTAATAAGCAAATATGTGATTTTTCAGTACAGTAACAATTTGTTAATGAGCATTTGAGCAATCAGTAATAGGTGCAGTCACTTAAACACTAGCCTAGTAATCCTTTGGCTACACAAGAATTAAAAAATAGTCAAAACAATTTCCTTGATCCACTGCTGATCTAAAAAAAAACAAAACTGCAACAGTACATTATTCTAAATCAAATGCGATTTCAATCACAAAAATAAAAAGGCAGTCACGTACAATATATATATATATCAGTTCCCTAATGTGCAGATTTAAGGAGCAGAAAGCAGCAAAACAGTCATCTCCAGGACAACAGCAAGGAGCAGCATATTGGTCACTACTGTGTTTAGAGCCAAAAAAAACAGCAATGACAAGATCCTGAACTCTCCACGCTGGTGAGGACAATGTAGGGCGCTCAATCAAATTGGACCACGTCACATGGCCACATCTCCCTTGATCCACCGAGGGTCCCGTTTTAAGGCATGCCGAGATGGTTGTATGAAGGTGAGGAGGTGTCGCGACACACCACCATCCTGTTCAGTAGGTGTTATGTGAGGTGAGGCGCTTCCCGATATAGATTCTGAAAGCCGGAAAACAAACATGTAAGACAAGCTGATGCTAGATCAGCTGTGATTCTCCAGGAACATATAAAAATACACGGACGGCTAGGCGCTTGTGTTTCATCACCGTAGCTTGTTGACTAGGAAATATTAATAGTTTTAAAGCAGCCTCGCTGAAACAATAAGACAACATGTTGGCAGAGTATTTTATAGGCTGCTAGTTGAACTGAAATGCCTAACAAAACAAGTTATTATGCTCTGATTTGTAAAGAAAACGAGTTGAGACACACCAGAGTAAACTGAGTCACTTGTATACTCCCAGGGTTACATGTCCAGAACATTTATCTTAATCCTTCACCCATTAAATCTCAGACACTGAACACAAGAAAGCATTATAGGCTGCTACTGCCTACCTATCCAGCTAGTTACCCAATCATGCTGTACTCTGAACACTTTCTTCTGTGTGTTTTGGAATTAGTCTGTTGTGATAACACTGCTCTCTTCTGCAAATGTTAGAGATTTGTGGAAGTAAGCTCAAGGTTTATTTATGGCACGTTGCAAATCAATAAAACAGCTGACCCACAATAAAAAAAATAAGACCGGAATCCTTCATTTTCAAACAAGCAGGAGGCAACTACTACATTATCAGTACATAAACAGGTCTATATAATGTTCATTTAATTATACAAACATTTTTTTCCTTGATACTGCTGCGAGAGGTTCCTATTAAGTGTTTTTCAGATACTGCAGCGTTGCCAGAGTCAGAGATGTAATGATGTTGCTTACCCCAAGCCAACAGCAAGTATGTGAGAAATGATTAATGAGGGAAGGAAAAGCTTCAGAAAGTCAGCAGACAGAACGCCTCCCTTCTTCATGACGCTGGTGTTCCTGATGCTGAGAGAGGTCGAGCGCTTAGGGTACTTCAGCAGGAACTCCCTACAGAGGAGCACATTAATTTTTCATTGTTCTGAATCCATTAAAATCAGTCAGTGCCAGTTTAATGACATCCTGACACCTTTGCTCACACAGACATCATCCTAGTCTGCAAATCACAATTACAAATTATGGAGTAAAATAAATATATTTCGGCTAATAGTGATGAGCACAACAGGGTTAGCAATTTCCTATTCCTGTTATTTCCATCATCTGTGTAATCAAAACCATTTCTCTTGCTGGTTGTGTGGCTTCAAATTTCATCGGTACACAGTCATCAATGATTTGCCTTCTAATTATCCAACTGCACATTGTCTTAAAACAAAGATAACTCCGCTGAAATTACTAAACAGATGACAGCTACATACTTTGGTGGATTGTTCTCAGGTCGACTAGACCAGTCCCAGATCCAGTCGGCATTTTTCTTCATCAGGTTCTCTACTTCCCGTCGTCTTTCTTGGAAGTCTTCATCGGACTAAAAACAGCAATTACGGATCATCAAGTGCTGTCAGAAAACACCTTTACAAACAACCTTATACAGTTAAATCTCATAAACGGACCTTTAATTGTCGGCATGTTGACGTGTCAGAACAAGAAACACACAGGTGGATTAGCAGACATTACGATCATGACTCATTTCTATCGAAAGTGGGACCTCTCCTAAATGGAATGTCATCATCATGAATTAAACAACACCTTTCCTGCTGTGACATGTTAAAATGGCTGTTGTGAATAAATATCTAATGGAAAATACATTTCTAAACAAGTCAGTGGCTTCATATGTACCTGCGAGCTGTTTCCCTCTGAGCCTCTCCACATCAGAAGCGGGGTCTGTGCTCTGAGTGGGCTGTTGTGAAGAGAAAAGTTTTCTCACTCAACACTTTATTACCACTTCTTGACAATCTGTATTACACAACAAAAAGGCAAAAACACTATAAGACGATTGTTCCTCTTTGTCTCACAGACCTGTTGCACTGAGAGCTTCCCCTGGAGCTGTTCCTGCCAGACTCATGCTGAGCCTCCAGCAGCATTTTCTCCAAGTCGCCCTCCTGGCTGGACGTGGGGATTTGCTCCTGGCTCCCGTGGTGACTGGTGTTTTGGGAGCCACTGAAATGCAGCTCGACCCAGGAGCCTTAAATCAAATACACAGCCCAGTGAGGAATTACTGGCCTAGGACTGCCACGCAGGTTGGACAGACAGAACAACAAACAATAAACCGATAGGGACCGTCCTTGGCTTGAAGGCACTGTGATTTTGGGACATTGAAAATAAGCCTCATTGAGTATCCAGGACTGTTTTCTGAGCTATATTTGTGAAAATATATCTAATAGGTTGATAAATTAATGTAGCAACGTCAAGTTTAGGCCTAGCTACTTAGCCAAATACCTCCACTGTTTACCTTTCCATGGGGTGAGGTGATTTAAGGTTAGTTACCCCATGTTTTTTTCAAACTATCGGCTAGCGCTAGCATCAACAATGATTAGCCGCTAGCTGATTAGTCGTCGGTGCTTTACCTTGCAAGCTCTCGTCGGATGAACCGTCCTTCTGGAGCGACATTTCTTCGGTATAATTCTGCGTGTTCACAGCTTTAGAGGCCTTAAAGGTAGGCGAAATGGTGGCGAAATGTCTGTAAGCAGCTGGAGCTCCAACTACCACAATAACAATGATGCAACGTTGTGTTTATCTCAACGCTGATTGGCTGAGAAAGGAGGGCACGCACGGCACGCAGGCTGAGCTCGTGGCTGCGAGCACGGGGAGCGCGCATGCTCGCACACGCCGCCTGCACAACATCAATAAACATGATTGCCAAAGTACATATTTGTCAGAATATTCCAACAACAACCTCAAAAGTCCTTTTGCTCGTGTCAGATTGTGTTACAGTTTAATTTGACCTAATTTATTAAAGCAGTTTCACACACCTGTCTGTAGATGGCAGTCACAGCTCATCCCTCTGTTGCTTTTATATGCAAGGTAGAGGACCACACATCTGAGCCAAACTATTTTGGCAGTTATTTGGCTTGAAATGGCAAATAATGAAAGTTTCCACCCCAGCCATGGCCTCCACTACCAGGCTCTCCAACATCCTCTTCCCTCAACCTGAAATGATTCTAACCTACATGCAACTTGATCCCACAAACAACACCAAAGACCTACATCCACATGGTAAGTGATCACTAAATTACCTTATGTTCCCTACAATGCTTTGCACTGTATGGCATTTATAAGCTACAGCCACTTGATTGCAATATTGTTTACATAAAAAGATCTTATTTGCTCCTTTGCTGCTTATTGCTCACAATTTATTTATTATTGTTTGTTGCACTTATTGACCTTAAATGTCTGTCCTGTGTTGCACTGAGGCCCATGAGGAACTACATTTCCCCTGTATGTTGACATACGTAAAAATGGAATAAGAATAAAACCTGGAACCCACTGTGGTACATCTGTACATCCCACATCAATGCACTTCCTGTACTCTCGCAGCATCTCTGCTCTGTATTGATCTAAGAGCGTCTAAGAGTCCCTAGCCACATACAATTAAATTAATGCTTTGCGGTTTATACTGACTCCTTTTAACTAACAGTTGCACAAGTGACTAACAATGCGCTGTATTTTGACAGAGTAAAACACTTATATTTATCGCTCATGATTTCTCGGGCAGGCAAGTCCAAATTTGAGGCTAGAAAATTTAATTACGTTTGCTAGCCATGGAGATTAGCGTGACTGATTATTCTTGCAAAATTTAATTATTTCCACAATTGAGGGGGCTTATTATTCTGGGATGTATTCTCATTCCTGACAGAGGATGGTTTTACAACGAATATATGGCGCTCACTAGATCATTTCAAAAGAAAGATAAATTACTTGTCTGGAAAAAAAAAAGAACATAAAAGTCAACTCTTTACCAGAAAGGAAAATTTGCTAGAAATAAAATCCCTATAGCTGTGCAAGGCATTTTTAAAATTATGATTATTGCTATTTATTTAATGTAAGCCATTTGTGGTAAACAGTAAGTGGGTCTTGTCATATGAATGAGAAAACAGTTATTAAATAATCCTTTATACTTTGACCGTACAATGTAGATGCACACCGATTAACCCATAAAGTAATGTTAAATTGTGTTCACTGTAAAATAGATAAATAAAAAGAGAGCGAGAGAAAATGTGCTCTTTGTCACGCAGCACCTGGGAAAACCTGTGATTTCACAAGACAGATATTGATTAAACCAGGCAGATGGATCATCAGAGTGGACATAGAAACAGATAATGGCACTGTGAGGTCCAATAATCACAACAAAACTTACCAATAATCAATCCAGTGCTGCACCAGGAACTGGAAACATTATAGGTGACAGCCAAAACAGTAGCAAACTCACAAAACGGAAGCATCAGGTTAGAAGTCATGTTCTGTATTTGAGAAACAAGAGCCTATACATCCTAATAACGAAGCCACTTGAGGGTTTTCTGTTCCGTGCCGTGTATCGCGGTCGTGATGTTGATTCAGTCAACAATGCAAACGTGTAACATGCTCAATAACAGCTAAATAAACATTCATGAAAGCGCAAGACATACAGATTGTTTCACAGGTGATATCTCAAATAACAGAATAGTCCATCGATGTAATTTGTTTTGATTTTCCATGCAGTGCTGTCGCAATTTATGATGGAGGCAATATTGGCAGTAATTTTGTTAAGTGTTATGAATGCTGGGTTCCACTCTACATTCTAGTTTATATTAGAAAAATGCCCTCACCAGATGGCTTATGTGTAGCAGTGAATGCGGTGTTACACCTCTCCATTGTTACATTAAGCCATTTGCCATGTGTGCATCCTGACTGTAATCAAAGGCTTTATTCATAATTCAACACGAAATCTGATGAATGACATGCAGTTATTGAATAACACATGAAAACATAAAAATCACAAGAGCAACTGTCTCAGCAAAAGGCAATGACTTTCCATACACTGTTATCATTGTGCAGAACAGAATAACCAAAGATCCGACTGCTGTAGAAGAACAGCTCAGACACATATAAAGGGAAGCTAACAGTCTAAATCAAGTTGCACAGTTTGTATGGTGATGTGCAACACTCACAGACAGAAAATCTAAAATACTGGCAAACCCCCCCAAGGAAGGAAGTCCTCCTTCTGGTCGTTTAATTAAGCCAGAAATTAGCATCTGGAAGTCTATCACCAATCACCACAGATAGTCTACCATTATCAGAGGTATTGTCTTCCAGGCAGAAGACAGTCACGTCCTGTTTTTCATTAGCCAAACCAAGAAAGTGTAAACCAAATTGGTACAACAAATCTACCATGGATGAGTAAACGATACTAGCCAGTGGCACAAAAACTAGGCAACACCGCCTTTCACTTAGGATTCAAGCTACAAGCCTGTGCTCTTATAATCAGCCACATGTTGGGAAATCCCATGGAGCAAGAGGTCAGTAATCATGGCAAAACTTTTCACAAGAAGAAAGTGAACCCTTCTAACTTTGCCTGATGCATACCTGCCCAAAATGTCACCTAATTCTGTCTTTACTTTGCACATATCATGTTTGACAGTGTGTTTAATGCAGGCATACTCATATGGTTTATGGTCCACTACTAAACTCATGCTGAGAATCCCAAACACTGTATTGGACTGTTAGCTCTATAGGACAAAACAGGTGTAAGATCACTGTGCACTCACTATGGATGAGAGCTGAGGTGCAAATTAATCTAAGCCAAATTCAGCAGATTCCTTCTGTATTCATCACTTTGCATTGCTAATATCTAGTATCCCCTTGTTCCTCTTGCATCCAGAATGCCTCACTAACAATCTGTGGCCTGATTTACACTTATTTTATGTTGAACCCTAAATTGCTTGCCTCGTATACATCACACTGCGGCCATTTTTGCAGCAACATGAGCAAAAGCTGCAACCAAATATTTAAATAGAGTACATCCCTTATGGAAATTTGTTCAAAACAGCAGCAAGTAAGTGAAGCCAAACTGCTGGAGGAGCTTTACCCTGTTTGCTTTAAAGGCACAGCGTGTCATTTTTGGCACTTTTAATCAAAATATCAAGAGATGCAGTTTGATGATGTCAAGGAATAGCATGGAATTATGGGGGTTGTCGTCTTCACCACCATTTACCAATGAAAATCTATCTGACGTGATGTGACAAGAGAATGTTGTGGAGTTTTATTCACGTTACATTTAGTCGTATTTTCATGTTAAATCTAATGTAATATTTGCAAGTAACATTATCTAAAAAAAAAGGTAAACAACAACAACTTACTACTAGATGATTGACTACCGATACAGCTATAGTAGCTAAGCTAGCATTGTTATTTGTTGTAAAAATAAATAAATAAATAAATAAATAAATCATACTAAAATAACTTATCTATCACCAGTGAGAAATAAAAACAGCCGAATGCAAAACCAACATAGTAGCTAGCAGGCTAATTTACCTGCTTCTTACTTTGGCACCATCTGATGCATCATTTGGCGACAACGTCATTGACAGGCACCATTGAAACTGACCGTTTAATTGAGTAAAATTACATATTTCTCTGGGTTAAAACATTGTCGTAAGCATTTGCAATAATGCAAGTTCGCAAGTCAAAAAAATATATAACATTGGCCTTGTTGTTTTTAGACATTTTAATGTTGTACATTCTAGTTTTGACAATGTTTTCATGCTAACAGCGGGAGCGCACAGGAGTTAGCAATGGGAAAAATATTCAGCTTATCTTTTATTGTCACATTCAATACAATTATTTAAGCTCCATTTAGCTCATGTTGGGCAAGTAAATACATTTTTACAATCAAGTCATCAGCCTTTTTCACAGCAAAACAACCTTTCAGCATATATGAAGTTACAACATATAGATAGCTACTCAGCTAGCTCAACACTGCGTTATTTCGAGCAACATCCTAAACAACAACCACAGACAATCGCAAAAACAAAATACCAAACGTACTTTGAAACGATGATTTTGTGCCTTTTCAGGAGTTGAAAAGACTGATAATGTACCTTCAACATATCTAGAGTTAGAAACAATGGAAATCTGTCTCTTTTTTAACTATTTAGAGAGATTTTAGTTACAACTCTTCATAGCAGTGTTCTCAGCAGAACCAGTTTAGCATCGACTCCTATGACTAAAAAAAGACGTCATTAAGAGTAAAGCTCGACCAATAAAATTCTAATTGAAAGAATAATATTGTAGTTAGAGTACTATTAAAATCATATATGAAGTTAATGCAACATTGAAGTGTGTCTTACTCTTGTTCAAATTGCCCATTAGTATTTGAAATTAACAGTCATTATCTTTCCTTTATGACCTCATTTGCACTTATTCAATGGGTCATGTGCAAACAACCGTGCTAATTATTTTTATTGCCAGTAATAAACTTGAAGCATGGATTCCACTCTATCTGCATAATGTAGTCACGTCATGTCTTCACTTCCAATAATCAGATATTGTGAGTTATGACTCTGTGACGGTAGTTTGTCTTGTGTTCCGAGAGCCTTTCAAAATGAGGTAAAACAGACACCTTTGCAGTAAATGTCAGAGCCTATAGAGACGTCAGCGTACAGCTTGTTCTGTCTGTGTGTAGGTGTGCTTGATAGCTGGCAGCACATTGAGGGATGAATTGTTGTCCACAACAGCTGGCTGCTGAGGACAGATAAAGTGTGCACGAGGGGGAGAGAAGGCCAGACTGGAACTGGATACGATCAATAGTACAGACATGACAAGATGGCTGAGGAAGACTTACGATGTCTGGAGCAGATTTGCCAGAGCTTAATTGGTATCGTTGAGGATTCACTGCAGAGAATAGAAAGCATAGTGGTATGTTCACAGCGGACAAACAAACTCAACTTTTAAAGACAATGAACAAAAAGAATCTAACTTCTTTCCCAAACTACAAGTTTAATACATTTTTAACTTGTTTGGACAGATTTTTAAGGTCATGGATCTGACAAATGAGTAAGACCCAAATTTGGGGATTTTTTTTTAATATCAATTCAGTCTTTAACCTTTTCAAACAATTCCCCTCTCTCCTCTTCTCCCTCTCCCAAAAGCCTTGGTTGCCACAAGAAGGTCAAAAGAGTTCAGAGCGTCCTGTCAAACACGTTTTATTGTTTCAGAGTTAAAATGGCAAAAGTTCACAATAATGTGACCAAAGTTAATACACGAGGAAGACAGAGGTAGTGTAGCCAAAAAAGGTTTTACACCCAGTTTGCTTAAAGTAGAATAACTCATTTACATTTATCTAATAAAATTGTTGGAGAACCATTAGAAGAAGAATTATGGACCTTGAATCGCAATGCCAATAAGTGATCCACACATTTTATGATATTCTCAGTTTTTATTTATAGATGTAAGAACTGCTTGATATTGGAAGAACATCTTTTATATTTTTGCTCACGCAGCACAACCTGAAGTATCATCCATGTAAAAGGGATACATTTAACAAGAGTGAAATAGTTAACAGAATCTGATGAATAATTTAACAGTCATTTTCTGTTTGCATGGACAAACAAAAAGGCAAATTAAAGCATGAATGAGTAAAGACTGTATGAGCTGTCCCAAAAAATGAGCCTCCATTTGTTGATACACTTGAAATATTTAGTGGGTTCCACACCATCCGTGCACTTTGGCTCTCGTAATTCCCAGTGAGCTCCTCATTTCCCTGGGGTCTTTCTCTTAACCGGCCTATAATTGGTCCAGGCTTTGCTGGCAGAAAACATTGGACCATTAAATCATTTAGGAAAATGTCCTGATTTGCAATTTTTATTCTTGGTCATTAGAAAATATTTGACTTGCAAAAATTGCAGCCATCTTCTGCAGACAACTGGAAATATCTTTTACACCAAACAGAGCTAGAGGTTGAAATTTTCCTCCTAGATGCAGTGTTGAGCAACAAGAGCACAGAAAGTAACAGCAACGATGAAGCAAATTAAACAGGATCCTCCTGCTGCTGACATCCCTCACAGTCTAATTTGATTATCTTGCATCCTTATCAATTCAAGAGGGAGGAAGTATTATATGCCCCAGTGTGCACGAGGCATTCTGCTCAATCCATAATGAATGACCCAACATTCAATTAAAAACACTCTATTCATCACCAGCTATGGTTTAAACTTGTTAGTGTGGTCTTGATGCCTCTGTCTGACTCTCTGCAATCCTGACTTGGCAGTCCCTGTTTGTCTGGGATGCAGGCTGTTCTCTTTGGTTCTTTAATAGTCTGTAAGTTCACCAGCCCCTCTGAGATGCATGACTAGCTTTAAAAAGCATTCGCTGACATGTAGGCGGGGGAAATTAGAATAAAATGAGGCAGACTGACTGGGGAACTGTGTGAAAGTTGTGGGAACTCCTGCCAGAAGCAGCTTATAAAGTTGTGGTACCACAATCATAAATTGTGATGCTCGGGAGCCTTATGAGGGGGAAATAAATCACCGTCTCACCAGACAGCAAAAGTGGACTTGTGTGTACACATGCAGAGATTAGCAAGTTCAACCAAGTGTTTATAGTTTGTCACCAATCATGATTCACGCTGATGTGGAACAAGACTTCTAATCATTACAAAAACATCCAGAAAGACGTGGTTCATTCAATATGTCAGTAGCTTTGTGGTTTACATTTAACCAACTAATCACAAGTTGTCACCAAGTGAACTCTTAATACATATTTATGGCTTGTACTGGTTCATTATTATTTTTGGGCGAGCAATGTAATGGCCGTTTTTGACATTTAATTTCTCTATTGCTTGGTGAGCGTGTGCTTTTAAAAATGTAATTTATGCGTCCTGCTGCTCAAGCATAGCGATGGAGTCCAGGAGAATTGTCATTTTAATTAAAGGATGCATTCAGATGGTAATCACTGCAGTTTAATCTCTCAAGACACACTGATGTGCAATGGATCGGGGCCAGGTAGAAGTGTTTCTCTTGAAAATATTTTATAACGCCATAATGCCGGTCGCTCATTATTCATACAAGCAGCTACTTCTGATAAAATGTTCCAACAGCTGTAATTATCTATTTGAGTTTTTTTTTTTTTTCACGAGTGCTGTTAAAGCGGGGCCATTACATATCTCCTCACAATGATTAAACAACCTTGTGGAAATCCATTTATCTTGCACAAATTCTCATTAGCATAAAGCCTCAAATGCTGTGTGTTTTTCTACTTCTGTTGTCAGACTGTGGGAACTCTTATCAGCAATAGTCAGGTCTGCCATTTGTGGTGAAGTAAAAGATGTATTTTAAGTATCTTAAGACTGGGAGACACGGTCAAACCCAAACATGTGTACCACAGGAATCTCAAAACAGCAGAATCCCAGAGAGCGAGACGTGGGAATCACTTTGTTATTGACTGTGCTGAGGTGACTGATGGAAACGTTTGCTAAGTTAAAGCAATTATAGACGGTGCGTTTCTTTTATTTCAGCTTGTACAGTGTATTTACAACAACAAGGCGATGTAACAGAAGGCTGTAAGGCTGTGAAAAGTGTGCTAAACAGGAAAGAAGAGACGGGGGACACTTGATAACGGATCAAGTCTCGGAATACAGCGCATTGATAAGCATGTGTGGATATTAACCTCACAGTGTAATTTGCAGCAGCTCCTCATATTTCTATCACTGCAGGACTTCTGTTTGACTCCAGGGAAGGACTTAATGATATCCTGATATGAAGGGCTATAATTCATGATAAACTGCATCAGATATTGTTGTGCCACCCGCGCCTCCAGGGCATAATTTTCTTTTGCTCTAATTGTCTTGTTCTTGTGCTTGTTATGAGAGAACGAGATAGTTGGTGGTCTGGGGATAGCGTCTTTTTTGGGTACAGTTTGCTTTCATGGGCTTTTGCTATTGTTTGTACCACTGTACAGATAAATACTGTACATTTAAAAACAAAATGTATTATCAGAGACAGAATTTTGAAAATAAATGTGCATCATTTTGACATTTAATATATTTTCCTGCCACTCTGAGCACTTGTCAGGCATGATGAAATTATTGACCATTCTTATTTACAAACTATTAACATTTCAGGGCATTTACAGCATTGTAACATATTGTACAATTAACACGAGTACACATTTCCTTCCATTGCAGTATGAACCATCCATTTGATGCAGCCATGACAGTTTAAATACTATAATATTGGTCTCGTGTCATGTTACCAACAAGAATATCATTTAGGAGCATGCATTCAGCCTGACCAGTTAAATTACTGTCACAAAACAGTAATTTAACTGGTGAAAAATGTGTTGTCTATGTTGTTAGAGTTACACAATGGTAAAGTCTGATCTCACAGTCTCAGTGTATCTGCAAAACAAACTGCACATTAGATTATTTTGTATGAATATTATTACTGTAATATTACAAAACAACCATTTATTGACAACAAAATGCTAAAACACAAAATGAAATTAAGCTGCAATTGATTTTCTTTCTCCAAATATTCAGTAAATATCTTCCAATATTTTTTAATGTTGTATTTACAAAGATAGGAGACTTAATGTAGACGACCCAAAAAGCTTTTGTATTTGACGTGCATGTATAAAAGTATTACTCACAAACCTCCTCTGTCCCTTTTACAAAGAATCTTTTTAAAAGACTTCCTGAAGTCATTATTGAATATCGTGTATATAACGGGATTGAGTGAGCTATTGCAGTAACCAAACCAGAAGAATATGTTGAAGAGCGTCTCTGGGATGCAGCTGTCGCACACAGCAGAGAGCGTGTACGTGAAAAAAAAGGGGAACCAGCAGAGAACACACACTCCCATAACCACAGCCAGAACGAAGGTGAAGCGCCTCTCCCTGTGCTGCCTTCCTTTCCACCTGCTCACTCTGACACAAGGCTGCGTCTCTGGCTTTGGAGAGGTTTCCCCAGGATTCACCTGAGTCACTTTACTCAGTCTCATTCCCTTCTTCTTCCTCAGGGAGCACAGGATGGTTTCGTTCCCATCAGACGAGGAAGGTTCTTCCTCCACATCTAACCCATTGACCTCGTTACCGTCACCCACTTTTACTTCCCTCTCGTCTCTGTCTTTTCTCTCCAGGGGATCCGAACCAATCTTCGCGTCTTCTGAGTTGCCATTTTCTCGTTGCCTTTCTCCTGGCGGGGCTCTTGTTCTTCTCTTGGCAATCTGGTAGATTCTAACGTACACTATAGTCATAATGAAACAGGGTGCAAAGAAGGAGGCGGTGCTGGAGAAAATAATGTACCATTTCTCCCTGTTAATGTCACATTCAGGGCTTTTCTCTTTATCCTTGTAATTTTCCATCGTGATCAGCGGAAGGATTGAAATGATGGCCGCAAGTACCCAAACCAGGCAGATTGTGCATTTAATCCTGCGCGGCGTCCTTCTCAGGTTGTACTCAATCGCTTGCGTGACAGACCAGTATCTGTCCAGGCTTATTGCACACAGGTGGAAGATGGATGAGGTGCAGAAGAGCACATCCAAAGCCAGGTAGATTTTACACCACACTTCACCAAAGCACCAGCAACCCATCAGCTCCTTCGCTAAAGAGAATGGCATCACTAAGGTGGCAACCAGGATGTCTGCACAAGCCAGAGAGACTAAAAACAAGTTCTGAGGTGCTCTCAAGGCTCGGCTTGTGATCACAGCAATTACTACCATGACATTGCCAAACACAGTTAGCAGGATGAGGATACCCACCAGGACTGTCAGAGGTACAGAGGTCTGCACGGTATAAGGGTGCCTGCAAGGTAAAGTCTCATTTCCACTGGTGAAGTTAAGATAACCCATCAGGACGAGCTGTGATGCCGATGATGCTGTCAGAACAGCGCTTCGTCAGGAGGTTTGGAAGCCGTGCTTGCCAGCAGTCTATTAATTGCATCCATTCAGGAACACGGCATCAGAGAATTGATTCTTTTCATTTTGTTCAGTGGTAGAGATTGTTGAAATAAATCTGCTGTGCTTCGTTCCTCTTCGTCAGTGAGAAAATAAAGACCAATAGAGGAAAAAAAGAAAGGTAAGAAATGTTTCTGTATATCAAAAAGACAAAAAAACAAAAGACAGAAGTAAAGGAAACTTTGATATGTTCCCAGATTCTCACATCAGATAGTTTTAAAAAGAGATATATTCTTTCAAAAATAATTCTTCATCCACCAACCTTTAAGAATAGAAACTTGCAGTTAAATCCCTTGGAAGACATTTCAAGAAACAGACTTATATTGCAGACAGTGCTGGCTCAGGCAGGGCTTTTCATCTGCTGTGGCTGAAGTGGTGTTCGTCTTTTATATGGGCTTGATCTGACGCTGAGGATCTGGGATGCTGGCTCCACTTCAGTGAGAACAGGAATGGGCGGGGTTCATCTAACGCTGGAGATTTAAAAGAGATCTGGTGTTGCTCCTAGACACTGAAACCATTAGCTGATTATGACATCAATAATATTGTTGATTTATAGAAGTAATATCTGTAGTCTATTAAATTACAATGGAATAAGAGTACACTCTGTGTGGTTCCGCAGGTCTATTTCATGAGCAAATGTTCAGATACATCTTGAGGGAAAAATAGCTTGAAATAATATTGGATAGAAGAGGAGAGTCACTTACAATCAGCCGCTAATAATACCAGAGTACAGCAAGTGCAGCACTTTGGCAAGAATTACAATCTCAGGTCGACAAATGTTTGCTTTACTTGTCGTCGAGGTAGAATGAGTCGAAATAAATGAGCTGAGAGTTTTCTTTTACAGGCTACTGTATGACTTTTTAAGCAAGGTTTAACTTGGTATTAAATCCTTTTGTGGGCGACATTACTGATGTGATGCTTGTGACAATAAATTAAAAGAAAAAAATGTTAAATAGTGTTTTTTTCTTGACCACTCTACTGTTTTCCATTGCTTTATTTTATTGTTTTATCCTCTACTTATCTGCTGCTTTATTTAGTCACAAACATGTTGGCCAGCTTGCATCACTAGTTAACCAGTCATTTTGTTAAAGGCTCTTTATTTATCCAACTTTACCAGACCTCCAATATTACTACATCCTAAAATGTAAAAGACAAAAGCATAGCACGCTCACATATTAGTAATGCGTTTGATGAAACAGTCTAAATAGCCGAGTAGAAAGCTGGCTTATCAGCTAAATTCCTAATTATGTGATTTGTTATCTACCTGAAGATTATCATTTGTTTACTTCTCAGCACACATATTGTAATATAATATAAATATAATAAAATATTTTTTTGAAGATGCACACCTAATCTTCATCTCGCAGGAGAATGACAGCAGTTTCCACCTTTTTGCTTGTGACCTCTTAATACAAAGCTTGCATTCTTGTGACTGTATCTATTATTACATATATAAACTGCTTAATGATTTTCCGCTCTGACAGATTCAGTAAATTAATTTTTGGAAACCTGAAAAGTGTTCAACTATTTCAGAAACCTCTAGGAAAATTGTTGAATCATATTAGCATTTTCTTTCCCTGTGATTTTGTTCCTTACTCCTGCAATAATTGCTAGACATACAGATTTAAAGATACTAAGGTTTTTGGAGCTTTCAGAAGATTTTTTTTTTGTGTGTGTGTGTGCAACCTTTATCTTTTATGTTTTCTAAAGGTTACATCATTGATAGAGATACGGATGCAATCATATTTACAAGATCCTGCTTTACATTTGTGGGAAAAACACCTTAAAGTCACTGGCTTGTGGAGGAACAGAGATGACAAAAAAAAGGATAGTTTATTTTTATATGTCTGTGTGGCTCCGTAGCTAGGTCCCATCTGGCTAGGCCCATTCAGCAGTGCATAGTAGGCTGCATGAGATGCCTGCGAGAAAGTGAACCGCAGCCTGAACATGTTACTGCTGGCCGATAGGGGCGCTGGTGAGACGTTTTTGGCTTGAGCCCCGTGTTATCGCGAGAAAATCTTCCACGGGCTTCCGGTAGCTCTTTGGGTACTGGAGGAAGAACAGCGTTTTGTTGTTCTTTCTTTAAAGCCGACGTTTTGGAAAACTACCCAGTTTGGATTTGAATGCTTGTTTTATTTATCGACCAATAACATTAATATAAAGGTAAGCTCCCACACTAATGCCTTATTTTGTGCGATTCCTTGTTGCCGCTTCTTGTTAGCATTAGCCGTCAAACGCTACATTTACGTCGACGAAAGGGCCGAGGGATTTTGCTAACCGTTTTAGCGTCATGCTAACGTAAATGTGAGGGTCGACACAAATTATATCATGGTTTTTGTATTTTGCATAAGTCACATTTTACTCATAATGTGTTTAATACTGTCTAAACCAGAAATGTATGTGGCTGGCTAGTTGCTAATGTCAGCTAGTACGCCAGCGTACGGTGTTTACCTCTGACTTCATCGAGCATGATGCTAAGATAACTAGCTTTTTTTTCTGTTAAATGTCAACACACAGATGTCGGAGGACTTGCTTAAACAGCTAAGCAGCTACAAAGCCCAGCTGCAGCAAGTGGAAGTTGCCTTATCTACCGACCAAGACAATGAAGACCTTCTTAAACTACAGAAAGACTTACAGGTTTGTGTGTCCGCGTAAACTAAACACTACATCAAAATGACAGATTAGCACCACACTACGACATACTTCATGTTTGTATGGGAGCTGAGTAAAAATATTTAATGCATAACAGCATACCTCTAACGACTGAAACTCACAATGTATGTGGTTTAAATGGTTTAAATTCTAGTTTTTGAAATTGCATTTGAAAGTTTTAAAACTGGAAACGTTTTACAGACATGCACTTGTTAGAAAAATGATATATTTTATTGTGAAATGAATGAAATGAAAAATACTTTATTTATCCCAGAAGGGAAATTCAATTGTGAACTATATTTTTAAATAATCATATATCCACAAACATATTTTTCTTAATATAATGTAGAAAATAAAATAAAATCTTCAAAATCTAGCATTCATATTTGTTGAAATGACCAACCCTTATGTGTTGAGTTTGTTAATAGGACTCTTCACAATGCTGTACTTTATGACAAGCTGCAACTGGTTTGGCCAGTGACATTTAAAAATAACCCATTCCTTTCTTTTGCAGTCGTAATTTTTGCCATCTAGAGTTCTAGGGGGGACACTGCCTGCGGTCATTATGAACATCTGACCCATTGTTGATTGTGTTTCCTTTGCAGGAAGTCATTGACTTGACAAAAGACCTCCTGACCTCTCAGCCCACTGATGGTACTTCCAATACCAGTGGCTCAGACATAGTACCCCAGAAGCATGGCTGGAAAGTGGGAGACAGGTGTTTGGCTGTGTGGAGTCAGGATGGACAGTGAGTGTCACAAGTCTCCTTAAATGAAAACATTACATGCAGCTGCATGCCTTTATAGCGCTACAGTTTGAGTGTATCATCTGAATTGCAATAGGGGCTTTATGAATTGAATTTTTCCATCTATGTCAGTTGTGCATTTTAGGTGCTTTATGTGCATTGCTTTGGACAAAAGCATCTACTAAATTATTTCTACATAATGTAGTGAGAACATCAGTGTGTTTTGTTTGTTTTGTACATTGGGCCAAAGCCAGTTTTTGTTATTCATTTTTGACAGTGTAAAAAAGGTTCTACTCACTGTTCTCCAAGCCAGACCATTTGAGTCAGCTGCCTTCTATTTGTCTATTTTATAGTGTCTACCACTGTACTTGCTAAAACATTCAATGAAATGCATCAACCTGTGTAGTAGTGAATACCTCTCTTGGAGCTGGTGTTGATGAAATCCTATGGTGTAAATATTTAGTGTTTGTATTTGTGTTACCCTGGCCAACTGCGCTACCAAGATGCTCTGGGAATGATATGTTTGTTTACAGAGACAAAGACTGAACAAGCCACACATTTTTTATTCTCCCCTCAAAGTGTTTGCCTGAAACAAGTGCAAACACAAACAACTTTCATCCATGTTTTAAATCTTGAGGGAACAAGGATCAGTTTGGGGAAAATTTAAGTTACTAAGTAAAATGTATGCTTAGATTAATGCTGTAACAGTATCCAGGAGTCACATGTAGCACAGATTCACTTATCTTTTGTATACTATAACATATGATGTAGTAGGATTAGGTAGAGATTGAGTCGTTGGCTCATACTCACCTGCTTACAGACGTGATTTTTTGACAGGGTGTATGATGCTGAGATTGAAGAAATAGACCGAGACAACAGCACTGCAGCCGTTACCTTCACTGGATATGGGAATGCTGAAGTGATTCCTCTCCAGAACCTCAAAGCAGCAGAGGAGGGGAAACGCTCTGATGAGGATGGGAACATGAAGCCAAAATCAAAGTATGAACAATTTCTTCTTCTTCTCTTTTAACCCCATTGACAACTTAAGGGAATTAGTGGGATTGTTTTGAGACACTGACATATTCAAGATAAACTAAGAAACTGACAAAGTGAAATGGACAGTCTGCTGTTAAATGCTGTTTTTACAGCACTGCTGGGTAGTTGTGAGTATTTTGGTTGGGTTTCCACACTTGGTCAACACCAGCACACATTGACTTCTATATATCTCTTTAGTCTTTGTATAATAGTGGAAATCTCCCTTATAAATTGTGTTTGAATATAGGAAATTAGCAGCAGTAAGTCAAGTAGTATTTAATAAACACTCTGTTGTGCCATCTTTAGTTTGCCCTGCGGTACCTTGTGTTTATTGTTTTTTCAAAGTGACTACAGCAGATGATTTGCAGCTGTCCTTTGTTTATAAATGCCAAACAACAGTTAAATGAATTCTTTTGAGAACTGGTGGTTTAAACACATAATTTGTCACATTTTGTTTGGTGTC